GCGGCACACTATGAAAAAGCTCCACAGGACCATGATAATTGGGGAAAGTTAGTTTTAGCTTATTGCAAATTGTTGCAATTAGATAGGTAGGATATCATTACAATTTTTATAACATCTTGAACTGTATATAAAGATCAGAAAAAAGATTAAACATTTGTTTTAGCGAATCTCCTAAATTCATACATTTTGTGAATAAAATTTCGGAGATTGTTTTGTATATCAAGAATGATGACATATTGTCTGAAGCACTGAGCACATTGAGCGCATTACGAGAAATTTCTACCAAAGAGAAGATAAATCTGATTGATAAGACTCTAGTGTGGATTTTATCAGAGTATCCTAATAATAGAATAAACAAGTATCAAGAGCTTTATGAAAATGTATTAGAATCTGTGATAAAAGACACAGATCTTGTGAATAGACAAGAGTATTACAGAAAATATTTAAAGATACTACATGATTCAAATAAACTTACAAAGTTGCTAACAGCTGCTCAAGATATGCATACTCAATTTCCACAGGATGCTTATCCTTTAGGTAAATTATTTTTTAATTCTTGTCAGAACTTATATTTTTATATTCTCATACAATATAGTCATTTTCTTTGCACAGAATGGTTATGCCGTATTTATTATGAAACGGAGGCATTATGTGAAACTAAACTTGAAATTGATATAACTCAGTTTTATGAATCACTTTTAAAGATAAATGCAAATTCCGAGGCTGCATTCATTGCAAAGGCAGTATATTTGAAAAGAACAGATGAATTAATTGACTCATGCAATTGTTTGAAGCAAGTAGTCTCATTGAATACACAATCATTTTATGCTTGGTTAATGTTGAGTCAAATATATTCCAAATTATACTGCTGGGAAGAAACCGAGAATGCATCTAGACAAGTACTATGGTTAATAAAATCAAGTTTAAAGGATAAATTTCAACATGGAATTAAATTGAGATTACTTGAAGCAATAAGTAGAAGTAGTAACAAACAAAAATTGATAGAAGCACGTCAGATGTGCGAAGAAGTGAGTATTTAATATGAATATTATAAATTTCTCGATATTTATTGATATATAATAAATTTATATTCAGTTATTAAGTGTTGAGCCTTCCATACAATTACAAGTGATTCATGCACGCACAAATATATTATTGGATGAACCTGATGCTACTGTTATGTTAAGTAACTTGGAGTCTCAGGATGAAACTAAACTTCAAGCTTTTATTCTTAAAGCGTTGCATTTACAAAAGCACAAACAATACGAAGATGCTATTAACGCTCTCGAGCTAGCTTTAGAAAATTCTGAAGCTTGGTTGCTGTTTGGTAAAATATATTGGGATATGGGAGATTACAATCACAGTTTGATGGCATTTTTAAATGGCGTCCAAGCAGATCGTAATAATTGGGAATGTATGGTTTACTTAGGACATTATTATCGCGAACATGGTAACAACATAGAACGTTCAAGAAGATGTTATCACGCCGCATTACAAATCAATCCGAATTCCGAAGAAGCTGGTATCGGATTAAGTACAGCTTATCGTCTTCTCAAGAACACTGTGAGCATCATACATATTTTTCTATTTAAAATACAAATTTGTATGTGACAACTATTCTGACCAATCCTAATATTATATATTGTTTAGGATGCCAATATAAAATTATTACAAAGGGTAACTATGCAAGGTACTGGGCCAAGATGGGCTTGGCTCCAACTAGGCTTGCATTACTTGGATCAAGGTGATGCAGGACAAGCTATCACAGCATTACAGCACGTGATCAGAGCTGATCCTAATGACAAGTATAATATAGCTCGCGCTATTATTTTATGTTACAGAATGTTATAATATTTCTTATCACAAGTGTATACTTTGTACAGTCATTGTTGGGAATCTCTGGCAGATGCATATTTGGCACGCGGCGCTCATGCATCGGCACTAAAGTCGTATCAACGAGCACTACAGCTGAGCCCAGAATCCTTGTATCCTATGATACAACTCGCGAATATCAAACTGGTAAGTAAAATTCATAAAAACATATAATATAATTGATACAAAATTTTTTTCCATAGCTCATTGGTCAATATAAAGAAGCCAAAGAAGATTTCGAGAGTATATTACAGAACGATAAACAGCATATTCTTGCATTAAAAGGTCTAGCACAGGCGTGTTTAGGTTTAGCAAGGCAAAATATCGAGAAACAATTTTTATGTCGGGCAAGGGAAAATCTACAACAAGCAGCAGACAATTTCATAGACGCTATTATAATACGCAGTGATCTACTTTGCAATTGGAAATTGCTTGGCGACGTGTGTTATAGAATAATCACTCTGCCAGAAAAATATTGCTATTTAAGGATTAAATCTGTTTTAATGAAGTGTGATAATACCGAAAAATATATGAATATTAAAGGAGACGAGATATTGATGTTATCAATAAGGTAAAAAGAAATGATTCTTAAATATATTCTTTCATAATATGACTATATTAGAAAACAAGATTAATATCAATTAAACTGTTAAACGCAATTATTAATATACAAAAGTTTGTACGATATAATAAATTTTTACGAATATTATATATATAAGACTTAATTAGTATTTTGTATTATTTTACGATTCAAAACTTAACTTTATCAATAAACTTTTATTTTCAGATGTTTTTGTCGAGCACTATCCATGCAAAATTCTGCATTGTTATGGCATGATTTAACATGCTGTTATTTGATGCAACTAAATCGCGCTTCTACAATCAATAAGAATGATGTGGCGGCTAAGTGCTATGCGACTGCAAAACATGCCGTTAAACTCTGCCCACAATCATGGCTACATTGGAATATTCTTGGTGTTATTTGTATGTCAGTATATATAAAAAATTATGCCCTGGCTCAACATTGTTTCATTATGGCGATCGATAGAGAATCGAACAATGCAATAGCTTGGAGCAATTTGGGAACATTATACTTGCATCTAGGTACCTAAAGATAACTATTTTTTAAATTTTTATTAAAATTATATGCATTTTATAACAATCTTTTGATATATCTAGGAGATATCTATAAAGCAAATGAAGCGTTTTCGCGATCACAACGTGCGGATCCTAGTTACGTGAATAGTTGGGTCGGACAGGGATTAATCGCAGAGAAGACTCTGAGAAAGGAAGCAATGGATCTGTTCCGACATTCGACACAATTGGGTTATCATAATCAAGCAGCTTTAGGTTATGCTCATTGGGTACTTACTACTCTCCTGAATTCCGCAATGAAGGAAGATCCACTGTTAGTTTATGTTATCGAAAACATGCACGCGATACCTGCAGCAGCCGACATTCTTACTTGGTACACAGGTTAGCAAATAACATTGTCAATTTAACGAGATACTCTCTTTCTACTTGAAAGTAATTTTGGCCTTTTTTTCAGAACGCGAGCCGTATGATGTTTATGCTCTAAATACACATGGTTTATTATTGGAACGACTAAGATTGTACAATACGGCAGCTAAACAATTTTCTACAGCTTTAAAACTGAGTGAAGATGAAGAAAGGGATATGATATCCATAAACTTAGCACGCATCTTGATTCAAATCGGAACACACGAAAAAGCAGTAGCATTATGCAAACAAGTGAAATGTACAAATTTCAATTCTCAGTGCCATCTAGCATTATCTTTATTCAAAGGTATGGAAATTTTAGTTTTTATCTTTGTCTTATGAAAATATAAATTCTCGAAATGGATTATTCATTTTATGTTCAACTTTCTATAAGACTGAAGTATAAACTTTGATGAAAATAAAAATGTCATATATATTTAGCCAAGCAATATGAAGATTCGTACAACACATATGAAGCAGCTTTACATTGGCTAGCAGACACTGGTGCAGATAAAGCTAATATCTTGTGTGCAATGGCTGCGATTGCTTACATATTCCAAGGAGCAGATGCTGTTAAGACTTTATTATTTCAATGTATACAAATAGAACCGCCTACTGTAACTGGTCTCTTAGCGACTGCTGCATTAGGAATTTTGCATGACGACGTCAATTTAACTTCTTTAGTTTTGAACGAATTGAAATCATATGAAAATCATCACAAGTACGGTTATCATGTTGTCACACTGTCAGCATACTATCAAGTTATTCAGGGAAATCTCAGGGAAGCTATTCGAATACTTACCAAAGCTATTTTCAAACACCCTAGTAAGTAATTCATGTTATTATGTATTATCAAATGATGAGCTTGCAAGTTCATCTTTTATAATGAATGTGTGATATTATAGACGACGTTAGATATTGGATGCGTCTTGTTCGAGTTTTACTATTGGACAAAAATTTGGATGTCTTTCATAAATGTGCTCTAACGGCGTTGACACTAAGCAGAAATACGACTAATGCTGATATTGTACATGTTGCTTGCGCATCGGCATACAGTCACTTTGGTACGAAAGAGGGTCTCAGACAAGCTCAGAAAAATATATTTACATATCCCAGTAACATTGAGAGCTGGGCTAATCTCGTTGCAGCTCTTTTATCCAGGTTGGTATTATAGAATGATATATCAATCTTGTCTGTTTTTTTTCGACGGCTGAGTTGTCATATGTATAATTATTTTATTTATAGAAATAAGGATAAGGACTGTACTCCAATTAATAGTCAGTGGATACTGTCACTAATATCAATAATAAAATCACAATTTTACGCTTCTGAAAATATGTCACAATGGTTACTTCATAACAAAAAAGAACTAAGTCATCTCCAAGTTAACAAAGCCTCGCAGTTTAAATAAATTATTTTATTATGATTTATTGTAAAAAAACAGTATATTTTTTCTATCTTGTAAAAAATCTCTGTATAATAAATCTAATTAATTGAAGTAGTTTGTCTTATTGAATTTTGTGTAAAAAAAGTATCAATTTATGGAAAGGTACATTGATTAAAGGTATTAATTATTATTTAATAAAAACAAATGTAATTTCGTCCATTATTGATTGAAACAAATCATATTTATTTATTTATTATCATTGGTTTAATTTTTATTTATTTTAAATCTGTCCCAGATAAATTAATCAGCGGGTTATATGAGACATATTCTACAACTTCTGTATGGAAATGTTTCCATAAACATACTTACAAAAGATCCCGCAACGCTGGTCTACTATTATTATGCGCAAACGGTCGTGGACGTTCCGACCAATTAAATCGTGTATCAAGTCTCTTTCTGTCAAATCTCGATTTATCAATTGTTATTTCCGCGCAGATATGATCTTCCAAAATCTGTAAAAATATAATTCATTTAATTTTTTATTCTAATAGATTTGACGATACTTAATTTGTTAAGCTAATTTTATATGCATATAAAAATTTTTTACAGAAATAATAGTATAAGAAATAAAATATAAAATATATTTCCAACATATAACTAGTATGAATTGATAATCAATGATTAGTAGAACGGATTGTCAGAGTATCAACTTACATTAGGTAAGATGTGCTCGTCCTTTTTCAATAAAGTAATCAACTTGTAAAGTTCAAAATCTTCAGGGATATTCTCCTGTGCCATAACCTCTTCCAATTTTTCAATCTATAGATATAATAAAAATAAAACGTGCATACGTTACATACACATAATTACTAAACAAGGACTATATAAACAGGATACGTACCACATCTTTGAAATAACCTTCTTTTTGTACATTGGGTCTATCATGTTCCAATGATGCTCTAAATATAGGCACTATCTCAGTAAACCTCTTCAAATCTGTGTAGGCTAAAACTTTTAGACATCTTATCTGAATATATCTGGTCTCTCTCAAAGTACTTAAGATTTCTATTGCTATATGAGGCGAATTCTGCTTAATGGCTAAAGCTGCTAAAAATGCAGTAGCTCTACGCATGATTATGCATCCTTTCTCATCTAATTCTTTCCAGATGTTCAAGGCATATTGCAATGTCTCCGGTGTATTCTAGAAGTGTTAAGACTAATTATGTAAAGAACAAACTCGTGAAAATTTAATCACTCTTGTATAAATGTTACCTCCTTATAACATGCTGCCATAACCAATATTAAAGAATTTCTAGGATATCCACCTATTAGGTCTTTGTTTTTAATTATCTCATATATTTCTCTCATTTCTGTGTACTTTCCATGCTTATATAACAGAGATAAAAGAATCTGGTAACTGATTAATTGATCAAAAAAATTCTCAAACTTAGGATCCTTGAAAGCAGTGAATGCAAGATCTGGTTCATCCAAGTAATACAGGGTACGCATCACTACAGGACCAAAGATAAAAGTACCAAATCTCATCTCCTTGGTTTGATTGTTAAATTTTTTCAACATTTTGACAAGTAACTCAATGTCTTCAGAAGTTTTCTGAGCTAAATGCAACATAGACTTTAGATCTTCTGTGAAGATCATACCTGAGTCTGTATTGCATATTTCTTCCATTTTGTTGCGGAATGTATTTTCCACATTTAAAAACTGATTGCGAAAGTTCAATCGTGCATTTTCGTAGCCTTGCAGACCCAGGCTCTTGTCCGAATATAAGAATCTGCAAGCTGTAAAGTGAATATAACATTAATAGTTGTTATATAAATATAACATCAAACTCCTTGATGCTTCTATGGGTGCTTTCTATATAACTAATCTATGCTTGGACCAAGACATGGAGAAAACTCGCGAAGCACAGATTAGTTATAACATCAAACTATTATATTGGGTCATCTAAAAAGTATCCGCGGTACTTTGTCACTAGATATATGACCATCAACACACATCTAGTGACAAAAAACCAGAGATACTTTTTAAATGACCCAATATTAAACATGTAAAAAAATTACTTATGAAAAATATTTTAATTACGCTCGTCTTGTTAAATATTATTCTATAGCATATGCGTTCGAATATATTTTCTGAGATACGTATCAACTGAAAGTTATAATTGCGTACAGTAACATGTACGTGCTAATAACGTGAAACTTGGGTCATAAAGTCATCGCGAGAAAAATTAATGTAAGGTTAAGTCGAATTACGTACAATTGAGGAAGTTATTCCTCAGAAGAGTATGGTTTGCCAGTCCCACATTGAACCTCGTAAGACATCTCATCGTCGCTGCCATTATCTCTGTATGCAAACGTCTTTAATCCTTTCTAAATTTATATTTTAATCTTTTGAACGACGATTAGCAAGCACACGCTCAACGGTACGTGAAACGAAGAGAAGAACGCCTACGAACCGGAAACCGGGTAGTCAGTAAATCTCAATATGTAGCTTCCGGTTTGATTATATTGTATAATACTTCTTCCCTATTTGCAAACACAACAAACTGTAGATGGCACTTAAAATCATTTTCTGATTAACGCCACGTTTTTATTGGTTAATTAAAAATGAAGGAGCGTGATTATGGGCATGATTGGTCGGTTGTAATAACAATATGACGCAATAATGCTTCTTGTCCATTTCCATTTTGTTGCCAACTTATAGTAGAAATGAAGTATCGTGGTGCTGTAAAAGTTGGTTTGGTATTCTCAGCATTATAATTTGTTAATATTAATTCTTAGCATTATAATTTGTTAATATCAATCAATATATTCATTTTTAATATATTATACTTTAAGGATATTTTTCTATGTTATAGAAAATCATGAAAAAGCATTGTAATAATATTTCAACGTTGCGAAAATAATTAAAAATTTCAATTGCGGTCTAACAATTTGAAAGATCAAGAAGACAACGCTGCAGAATCATGTCGGATTATGCGAGTAAACAAAAATATATAATGTAGATTTGTAAATTTTTTTATGTTCTTATATTAATAACGCGATTCTTTTCCAGAATTGTGCACGCCACTTCCCAAAAGTAAGATCAGTCATATCAAGATCTGTGAAAATACTCAGCAGTATATCATTGACTTTTTGCAAAACTTGTTGCCACCATCTGACCGAAAATCTATTCCAGATGAATTGCGAAAGGTACATAATATACGTTGTAATATAATAAACTAAAATGTTTATTAATTGGTGATATAATTGAAAAGAGAATGTTTCTATACATAGCAAAATAAATAGAAAATGTAGAATAATTCTTTCACGTAAGGTTTGTTTTCGACAAAATAGATTTGATATATAGGTGATACTTAAAATACTTAAAATTGATTCTTACTCAACTATATTTTGATATTAGATCTTAGCTGTAGACTATAATCTCTTATATTTAAGTTGATTATATCGGGTAATTGAGAATACACAATAAAAAGAACATTCACAATAATTTTATCACTTTGTAAATTATTGAAAAAATATTGCACATTCTGTTGAATATACAGTTCTGCTCTTTGAAGTAAATTTCTATGAATGCTTTCTACACGTCCCAATGCTTTAGTTTATCAATTAATCCATATCCACAACACACACACACACACACATACACACAATAAATATTTAAAATAAATTTTCTCAAAAACAAGCTTCATATGAAAAAAATTTATTCTTTATTTTCAACTTATTTTTTTATATAGTATCATTTCTTTTTCTATTGTATCACCATTTCTATTGTATCAGTTCATGAACTGTATAATATTAGGTGTTGGAATTAATTCGTAGCGTTTTTAATGAAAGAATGTTATTTATTTCACATGAGCATTAAAAAATACATTAATGAAAGTACTTCCCATCACTTGTAAAACGCTACGAATTAATTCCAACACCTAATATATAATAACATAAATAAGAATCATGGAAATATAATTACTGATTGACTAAGATCTTGCTTTTCGAAAATTTTTATAGACCTTTATATTTAACAAAATTAAACCAAAGCACAAGAAGAAAGTGGAAAAGGGCAAATGCTTCTCTGCCAGGAAGAGGCTGCGTTTTGGTTTAGGTAGGATCGGTAATAGAAATCAGATGAAGTACTCTGATGTTTTACCTTTAAATCAATTATGGCTACAATATATGAGAGAGATGCTCAATGTCGAGTCATTTACCGATATATCGGAGAATCCTCGAAATTGGGAGAACGTAAACCTGCAATTGATAAAAGCCGATTATCATGGTGCTAAAATCTCGATCGATAGATCCAAATGCCCCAGTCTGGTAGGAGTTACGGGAATTGTCATACAAGACACAAAGAATACTTTTAGGGTCTGTGGAATGGACAATATTATTCGAAGTAAGCAATAAACGTATATTATCGATTTTTCCCCGCATAAACATGCCGTATCTGTTACAAAGTATATTATATGCACTTGCTGCTTTTATCATTACATGTATATACATGAGTACAATAAATCCCTTGGAAATTATGAGTGTTGAACAATGCTAATGGGAGAAAATTTAAGAGCGATTCTGAATGATAAAATAAGGAAATCAAAAATAAAAAAATTACGCTCAAAGCTTCGTTTGTAATTATAAATTTTTAAATATTCACAAGTACTAGACATTTTTTCATGAATATGTAAAACATTCGTTACAATGTCAAACGGAATTACAAAATCAAGAATAATAAAATTTCGGTTGTAATTTTGTTAATTATAAATGTCTAAATATTTACGTATAAAAATGCTTTACATTTATAATTAAAAAACAAATCCTTTTGTTATTCTCGATTTCTTATTTTATCATTTAGAAGCCTGTCCTTAAATTTTCTCTCATCTTGCCAAATATCATGTATATATATATATATATTTTTATTGCTAATTTTTATTAAACTGTTTACAGCCATACCAAAAGATGTAGTTAAGATTAACGTTCACTTGGATGATGGAGTAACACTAAAAGTGTTTGGAAGAGAGCTTTCTATAAGGCCTGCAGAACGAGCAGTTAAGAAGTTTAAGAATAGTTCAATTGTAATGCTGTGATAAATATTTAATATATTGATAATTTGATGGTATCTTCTATAAAGATACACAAATTAATGTTAAATCTTGATAAAAAAAGTTACGTTGTGACGGAAAATTAAAAAATGTGACAAAATAAATCAGTATACGGATAATATAATTGTACGTGATTATACTATATATGATGATCCTTTTGTGGAAATTATTTTAATTTCATCTAGATGTTAGAATTATTTTATTTCTTCATATCTTTCAGCATTTCTTTGCAGATTATTATCATAGGATATTACAATTACAGGATTGGTAATGTATATTTACTACTTACATGGTACAGTATTTATATATATAGTCGTATATATAATATAGCGTCATATTTATATATAATGTATACGCGTGTAAATCTCTTTGTGTCTCTTGTGTTTATATGGAAAGGTGTGCATAACTATTGAACAATAATCTATTTTTTCTTTTGGAAGTGTGTTCACCCATGTTTTTTCCATTAAAACCGCAATAGTCAAACATGACACTGATACAATGATAGTTATTTTCAATTAATACAACAACTATATTTGTTTAATCAATCTCTACAATTTTATTTGGCTAAAGTTTAGATCAAAGTAAAACATAGTATCAGGACATGTTACTGACCTTCTCCTTCGACATAACAGTTTTAATATGTAATATATATATACAGCTAGATCACTGCAAGATCAACTGTGGAGTACAAAAAAAAAATCAAAATGTCGCATAGAGAAGACGAGGAAAACGATGAGCGCGTTCGTTCTTTTAATACATAATACAAATTTCTTTTACTTGAGGATAGTATTAACGTGATCTTTTCGCCGGTATAAACTTTCGCTCTCCGCGCATTTTAAAATAAAAAGACTACATATTATAATCCATTGAGATATGAGAAAAAGAAACGAGATATATTACTAAATGATACAAATTTACGCAGGTTGATAATTTACACTCTCTTAGGAATGTTAACGGTAAGACATACTACAAGATTAATTTTTTCTCAGTTGTCTATCGCACTTTATATATACTGATCTTGATGTATCGACGTAACACTTTATATATACGACGTAAAGATTTTAAAAGAAAAAGAGAAACACAAGTGTCAACAAAATGGCTTTGTTATTTTCTAGAAATATCGTGATCTAATTTATCTTAAAACTGCATAATTTAGGCATAGTTTATAACAAGTTATATAATGATTATAACAATCAATAACTTCGAATAAGATATTATGCACATACATTAAATGTGAAATCATAGAGGCAATGCTTATTACGTCTATGTGTGAAACGAGTAGAAAATATTATCAAACTACGATATATATGAAACAATGTGTGACAATGGGCGATCGCGTGCTGGACTTTGTTATCAAATTATCTTTAATTTCTTGAACTCGAACAATTATTATAATTCAAAGAATTGAAGATCATTTAATATCTGTCTGTAATTAATCTTTTTATGCAATGAACAATGAAAGACTAAAAATACGATTAATGCAGATTGGACAAAAAAAAACTCGGGCGGACTACTCTATGCATTGTAGTACATTAGTAAGACAATAAGGTCTTGTCGTTCAATTTCAGTACCTATAATTTATTTTATGATTCGTTTTGTTTACGCAAATCAAGCTAACTTGTGGCGAACATGTGTCTTCGTATTATGTTCAAGCAAATGTACATACAGGTAGATCTAGAACGATGTATATGTTATTATAGGTACGCCAAACATATTCTGAGGTGTCTACAAGTTTTTCTCCATCTTGATCTCGTCGTTACAATACTGATATAACGATACGCGATCTACCCCGACCTAAAAGATACTCTTATTACATTGCAATTTTGCGAGGATTCCTTACTTTCCACTGTGATTCATCACACGCTTTTGAGAATGTACATCTAGTGCCAACGTTTATTCAAAGATAAAGAAAGACGGGATGACTTTCAAAAAAGCATGTTTATATAAGTGATGAAAAATTGAAAGAAATTTCACCGAAAAGCAAGCACTGAGTAATCTGTACAGAAATTACGATGTAATTGTTGATCTACAGTTGATTTTGCTTCCGAATTAATTATTATATTGCCCAAAAAGCTTGCTTCCTGTTAGTAGCCAAAAGAAAGGCACGTAGACGCGCACACATACACACACACACACGCGCGCGCGCGCGCGCGCGCGTGTGTGTGTGTGTGCCGGTAAAAGACAGGGAAATTATACTTTGTTCACACAACATATGTATATTTTTTTTATTAACTGTGCACGATAATTCAAATCGGAAAAATCTCGGTAAATCGCACTAAAAAAAAAAGAGAGAAAAAACATCTTTTTTTTCGTTACAATAATTTCCGAATAAGTTTTTTAAATTTTTTTTACGCAAAAT